TGTCACTTAATCCCGTCAATGCTTATGTTGAACGGGAACATAGCTGTTCGGCACCGACAAATAATACAAATTGTTCGGCAATTTCTATTCATTTACGATTTTTGTCATTTGGGAATGCATTTATGAAAACCATAGTCTTCGTACGTTAAAAAGAACACTATCTACTTTGCATTTCGTAGTTTTTACGCCGACGAGTCAGAATGACTGATACGAACAATGTCGAAAACCAGATTTCATGAAAATCATTTGACTCATTTAAATTTAATACAGTGATACCTATCGACTTATTTGCATCGTGCAGTTGTTCAAACTTCTAGAGAGGGTATATTGTGTAACCCTGTTTTGCAGCGCCACAGTTTGACCGTATGATCCTAGTAAGATGTTGTCACACGTATATTTCGTTCCCACCACGCAAGTTTCAGCATAAACCATATTATTTCACTTTTTCAATCTTATTTTTTCGCATATTTCAGTAGGAACGTTGTGGTCAATGATACACTGTTCTGCAAACAGAAATTCGCCAAGTTCATATATGCGCGAACCTGGTTGGATAATTGGATGTGCACCACTAGCGCCGCTCGCCTCTATTAGTCCACTTCAAACCACTTCAGAATATGATGATGACGTGTATATGTTGTCGTTTTGCATTCATTACCTGCGAATTTGACGAAATTTATTTTGAAGTGACGATGATACAGTTTTCAGTTTTGTGCTAAAGTAGACCAACAGGAAGGTTTCAATAAATATATCAGTTTAGATGTTCGCCTACAAATCAGTCGCGTTAGGTGATTGTTCATGTAATTTTTGTTTTTTAACATATGCTATGAGGGTTTTAGCGTTGCCAGGTTGAACGGCTAATCTATCACATCAGCTCTCCTCCTCCTATTCCTCACTAACCACGCCCACAAATATTCTGTTGTTCCTCTCTCTTAATGCTAACACCAATCAGCACTGTACTAGTTCTCCAAAGTAAATAAACATAATCAGTTGTTTGTGTCGCAAAAATCTAATCTATTCGATGTCTTCAACTTGACAGAAAATGAACTCATAGCGAACAAACATACGACTTCATTAACCTGACCTCGTTGCAGAGCACATCATAACCAACATGATTTACTGCCTATTGCTTTCTTATTCTTAATAAAAATAAGTGTTTAATATAGTCCTTATACATTTGTTTTCCTTAGATTTTCTATTCAGTGATCTCCTCGTTGCCGCCGTTTCCCTGCACAGGGCATGTGTTTACATATGAAAAGCTCGTTTAGCAGTAATAAGCATATTTTCAAAGATATTGTAATAATTTTACTAATTTTTTATGTTATTTATGTTAATATATTATTATATTATTTATTTTACTATTTTTTATTTTAATTTTATTTCATTATCTCGAAAAGAAATGACTCTGTCAGTATAGTTTTCACGTGGAAAGAAGCATTACTAGTTGTTGTGATAGATAATTGATTTGATTAGAGATCGTTACGCCTTTCCTTTTTCCTTCTACCTATTTTGACGTGACGTTCACAGGAAAACTAAGTCGAATATAGAGGTATTTATCGATTTTCATCGTTTGCCATTGTAACGCTCGTTGTTGAGTATTGAACCTCTACTTCCTACTATTTACCTAGAAATCGTATGTCCTCATAAAATATGTCATAGAAGACCATGGTGGACATAGTAGAGTGACAGTTCGGGTGATCGTAAACGGTCGCACTCATGAGACCTGGCCAAATACTATCCACATCGCACTCTACCATTACTCGATCATCGCGCTGGCTCACCACGAACAACACCTTCGGCCATGGGTATCATACACCAGTCATACCATTTCAATTCGTCGTTTTGCGCAATAGGCGAAATAGGTGCACTTGTATCGTCGAGGGTGTTCAATTTGCGTTTTCGAGCGAATTCGAGGTCGTTCAGACACATCGTCGTCATCATATACTAGCTAATGTAGCTAATCATTGATGCCAACGTTAGTTGTTTGCATTGATGAAACTCTAATTGAAGCTTAACACGATGCTAGACTATGTTACTGTTACCTCGTTTTTTTTTTCAGCAAAAAGGCTGTTACACTCATTTTTACTACATTTTCCGGTAGTTATGTAGTCCGAATATGCCCTGTAATAGATATTATCCTCCTGGCGTCTTCAATTTCTTCTCTTCCATCATCGTATATAAGGTTGTCTCGAGAACGACTTGTTGGATTACAAAATTCATTTCAATGATGTTACCGGCTTATTGCTGTACTTCACTAATTTGTCTGTTCCGCACCTTCCGCTTGCACGGTGACATATAAATCATTCACGATCTCATGTTCATGCTCAGCTAGCTTCAGCCTTAGCTTGTCGCCAATTACGAGCGCTAAGGTCATGCTTCTATATTCGCTTGTTATCCCAATCAACCCACCATTTCTGCTTATTTGATTTTGAAATGGTATCGAGGAAATTTATGATTTTCACGGGCGTTTTTCTTTTAGGATTATAACTAATTTATTACCTTCCTGTTTTCTTCTCTTCTTTATGGAGTCGAGTAGCGTTTATTAATAGAAATATAGTTTTTCAAATGCTTTCTCTCGTGTCCATTGTACGTTTACAACATATAACTGACGAGTAACTGCAGTTTATACTGCTTAAATTTAGTGTAAGAAAAGTGGAGAATTTCTTGAGTTCCCGTCGGCATGAGTCATGAATAAGGCAGTCAAGGTTCTCCCTATTATTCAACAATGTCACTAGTAATCATAATAGACATCCACATCTGTGACGTTCTTTTTTTCCGTACTAGAAACGATGACCATCGCTGCATTTCGAAGGTCATCATCATAATTCGTGATGTGGTAAGCTTTTCCATATGACTTGCAGAAAACGAGCTTAGTTCTGGTCTACGTTCCGAGGTGAGACAACAACAACAACAGCCGCAACAACACATGCCTTCACCAACAACTATGTAAAGAAGCAGAAAAAAGAACACTTTTGTCTGAAGGTGCACTGCTGTCTCTCATCAAATGGGTTAGAGACTACAAAAGCGATGAACCCTGAGAACATCACAAGCACCGTGCTAGTAATAATAGATTTATTTAACTCACACTAATATTTTTTTCTATTTCTGTTCAGCAAACACGAGGTGTTATTTTAATTCCTTATTCACGAATAAGCTGACGTTTCGGGGTATTTTGCTCTCCTCAGAGCCTGGAAAGGTCAAGTTTACCACAACCTACTCGGCCAAACACCTTCATACCCAAACAGAGAAAATGCTGAACCAAAATTTCAATCACATTGAACATAGAGTCTTTGCACGCTCACCGCTTTCTATGAGTCTTCCACTCAATCCACTCTTCTCTCTCTCTTCAATCCATGCCGAGGTTAATAGAAAATCGGACTTAGGAGCTAATAATTTTATGTCCTTCCCATAGCCAAAAATAGTCTAGTATTTCCAGTTGACTGATTTTGCCTCTTCAACATCCTAGTGTTTCTAGATCCGCAAACTTCACAGTGAGATCGTTGATGGTCGTTAAATAACATTTGTAACGGTTCATTGATCATAGTTCAGCGGGTGCTTCCATAAACGATCTTTGATTTTATTTTGGCCATTTTTTCTCAAATAGTTGATTGTTTGCTCGTCGAAATTCGAGATCATCATATAAACGAGGCCATCACTGTTACTGAGTGATCACGACGTAGTAGCATATGCACAGATTTCACAATCGTCGATTGTAACCACGATGTATTCATTTCTTGGTTTAGTGTTCAGAAATTGTCACGCTCCATGAATACTAATAGCAACAACGTCGGAAACCCGATAGCACTCGTATTCGCCCTTATCACATAATCAGTAGCGCCTCTCATGGTTTTACAACTCACGCAAAACGTTCCAAACACGCCTTCTTCTCTCCTTTTCACTTTCGTCAAAAGTTTATAACAATTAGTGAAAATTGGCGCATCTAAATAATATTCTGCATAGGATTAAAAATTTAAACATAGCGACTCGGTATTTCTATCAGGAGGGCCGGTTAAAACAACCAATCCCACGAATCAGCTCAATCCTAAACAAAGATTATCGCAACTCTCCTTCGATCCGCAAGGATCAACGATTACCTTCGCTGACGGCTTAGTGGGATCGCCTTCGTACGATTTCTCACTTCATGGAAGAAAGATTAGTCCATAAGAGCACATTAGTAGTTAGATGGAAAGTGTATTACCTTAAAGAAATCAAACACCACATTCCTCACGATCTTTCAAGAAATCTAATTGAGTCGCTAAATATTTCGTGGTTCTTCTCTATTATGTTACAAATGAAATTCGTATATCTAGCGGATGAGTGATGTTTCCTAAACAAAAGTAGCGATTTGAAGTCGTAAAAACCATTCCTCCTGATAGATGTTTTCTAAAAAAAATCCATCTATCCAGATCGTTTAATCCACTATTTAGCACCATCGCTTGGAAGTCATCAGTCTTATCGCAGATGCACTTTTTTTCTTCTTAGAAAAACGCCTATCACAAAAGTTGCAATTTTGTTGTGAAGCTGTGAACAATTTGTTGCTCAGTTTTCTATAGTACGATAGGTAATAGTGCAAAAACGTATCAAACTCTGGAAACCACTTCTTAGTTTAAACCCGGCTTAATATAGTTTCTTTCTTTTTTCTTCTCGAGAAACTTCGCTATAGACGCTTTTTGTTCTTTTAAATTATCTCATCTCAAGCCATTTCATAAAAGCCGAATGAGAGAGTTCTATTCATATTCTGTATTCCTATTGTTTACTGACACTATTGCGCTTCGTATAACATGCGTCCAGTAAAGGATTACTGGCCGACAATTCTGAAATCCTCGCGTATGCTTTTCTTTTTCGCCATCGTTATTATTGATTCTCTGTGCAGACGAACTCGAATCCTTGTTCTTCATTGACTACAGTACCCATTGAAAATCGTTGCTTGTGGATGTTCACGATCGACAAACAAGGAACCTAACAAAGAAAGCAAAACAAATCTCACCAATATTTATTTCAGAATGAGGCGGTGGGTGGTGACAATTATCACCCTCATACATTTGGTATGTTGCCAGAAAATTGTGAGCAAAGGAAAGACCATCACGGTGTGTGGGCGAGCTTCGTTACTTTTCCATGATTATAAAAGTTATGATCTAAGATCTCAATTCTAAAATGCATGAGCCGGAACTCGGCTCAATTAAGCAAGTTGTATCCAGATCGCTGGTGAACTTTTCCCTACTTTAGGATAGAAGTCGATTTAACTAAGTATATTTTCTTTTTCAGGTAAATGAAGGTGAACAATTGGAATTACCGTGTTATGTACAAGATCTCGGTTCAGAATCGATTATCTGGCGACGAAATGAGAATCTTCTATTTATTGACGAGGAGAATCTCGCTGAAGATGAGCGCATGCAAGTCATAAAGGACGGTTCGGTGAGTGCCCTTCACACAACATCATAAGCGATGACGAAAAAGGCGACATGCTCAGAATTCGACGCTAACGATTTTTGATGTGGAACCGATGGATATGACTGACTACGTGTGTGCAGTATCAGAACCTGAACAAGAAATCGTCTACAAGATTATCGTGAACAGTAGGTGTTTTCTCTTTCTTAGATAACCAATCATCTAATCGGAAACACCTCAACACAGTATTCTTGAAGCTGAAAGGCGAGAAAAAAGAAGCTAGCTGCCCAGCTATTCAGCAAGCGACAATTCACTTAGAATTATAGATCGATTCGTAGCATTCTTTGTAACGAAATGTTATTCACATATAGAACCGCCAAGAGTGAGTGCTACGCATTGACGAACTAACACTTGTACTTCTGACTGAAGAAGTTCAAGTTCAGCGATTTCAGTTGGTCAGTTAGAACTCAAGTTAAGTAGACACACATTAGTGATAATCCCTGAATTAAGAGAAATTTATTTATCTAAGAACAACATCAATATGGACCGCCTATAACTCATTAATCATTACGCAATCTGCAGAGCACAACGCTAGCTCACTGCAGCCTCAACGCGCTCCCAACTCAATACACACATGCACACAAACGCACACCCAAATCGATGGTGTAGAAGAACTAAAATTAGTAACGGCAGAAGTAGTCTATTCATCCGGAGAAGTGGGAAGAAAGAAAAAAGAAGAAGACTACGGCGACAACGAAAGAAGGCCAGAACAAAAAAACAGAGGAAAGTACAGTTCATCGATAAGCCTGCAATGCGGACGCTCGTTCTAGTGATTCTACGACGAACCGTTCAATTTTATTTACATTGAATTTTATTCAATATGCTCATATTCATCGTTTCTCCATCCATTCACCATGACATTTTTGAATATTCTACCTGAAAGGAAAATAGAGCACAGTCGATCAGTACTAATACAGACCTTCTTTCCTCTACGAAATTAAATTAAAGAACACATTAATACTCTTTTGCAATACTTTTCGATTTATTGCAAATCAAATGTTTAGACAACATCTTTAATCGGAAGCTCTCGCAGTTTACACCAAAACAACGAAGTAGTGACGCAGTAACCGACAAAGGGGTAAAGGATGAAGCCCTCGGCGTTGATCAATCCCTGAGGGATGCGCCATACATTTGACTTCATTAAGCAACGTTGGAGGTGATTGATTGCATATCTGGTCTTCATAATGACTCGCAGTGACCTGCCGATGTATCGAGCCAGTGCTACTATCCTCTCAGACAAGTCTGGTACCAATTCGCCGACTCAGGAGGGATGGAAGGCTTGGTGGGCCATATGCGCGAAGATCGATTCCACGTGTGAGTTGCAAGGCGCCTCCGACCAGTGCGCCGCACGCGCCCGTAGAGACCGATGAGGAAAACAATTATAAAAGATAATTGGGCATGAATACAGATCTTTCTATGCAACTCGATGTTATGAATTCATTATCAAATTAAGTTTTCATAGGTTTTTTTAGTGCTATAATCGTCTAAGATCAGCAGACGGGGTTTTTTTTTGTTCGATAGCATCCAATTTTTCGTTTTTTTTGTAATGATATACGTCAGTGTATACACAATGTGTATAGTGTGTAGAGTGGTAGTGTAGTAGTAGCGTGTATAGTGTATATACAATGCACTATTTTCAAGGCTTTGCCAAACACTGTCATAGTACTGTTTCTATAGATTTTTTGAACAAAAGGAAAAGCACAACACTTCCAGTTTTCTATCTTATAAGCAATCGGTTTGCGAATATCACGAGTATATCTTGGTTTTTTAACTATGTAGATTTTTAAAGATGGAATAACCGTCGAATATCGATGAATTTGATAAAGAGTGTATTTTTACGACTATTCTAATAAGTTGACCATTTTTTAACACGTGATTTCTGCTTGTTACGTTTCTGAAGTGAGCTAAAGCAATATGTCTTTTGGAAGAGAGCTTAGTGTACGACAAAAAACAATAGATAGCAAAGCCTCGAACGGAGTCGAAGAAAAAACCGCGCTACCACTGACACAATAGAGGATTCGGAACAATTCACTCGATCCATACACGTAGTAATCTTTGACGTATGTCATTCATAACGAATTGTGCCATCACGGAAGTTCTGAAAATGATGAATTACGGCATTTCACGTTTAGCACCACCGACCGTCGTCATATCACCAGATGAACCAGAATATCTGCTGTCGGTTGGTGATGAACATGTGGTTGTACGATGTCTTGCTAAAGGCAATCCAACACCGTTGATTAGGTGGATACGAAAGGTGAGAACGATGCACTCAGTAGTATCACATCCATTCCTGTGTAAATACGTAGACAAAGAATAGGTTAGCTAACGTGTGTTAACAAACGGTTTCGTTCTGGAAATTAAGCGTAGGCATAGAAATTTACAACTGCACGATAAGTTTTTGTGTAAAATCCGCAGTTCAGCTCGTATGTTTTTACTTGTACGCGATTTATTGATGAGCCAGCTGATTGACTAATCACTACTGCCAATAATTGTTGATGGCTAAGAGAAGATGATAATCCCAAATCTAGAGATTAGGTCAATCAACCTTATTAGCGTATAATTGACGACATCGTTGACGCACTTTCGACGACGGTCTCGAATTACTATTTATGAAGGCCGTTGTGAATTTTAGAGTAGAGAGTTTTCGTTCCAAACTTCAGAATAATTTGAAATTCAGGATGAAAAAATGCCAACGGATATTTCTATTCGTGGTCCACACCTGGTAATATCGAAAGCGAAAAAATCACATTCTGGCGAATATGAATGCATAGCGAATAATACGGCTGGTAGCGATTCGGCGTCACTAAAGATTCAAGTAAACGGTAGGTTCACACACTTTTCTTTCAGAAGAAAAAAAAGACACCTTTGAGAGATTTGTATGCTGTTCTTCCTTTGTTCAAATTTATGCATGCCAGAAACTCTTCGCTGACTATCTCGAATGATATTTTGCTGTGTAGTTTTGCGAGTGCGGTTTCAGTCACAAACACCTCACAAGAAATCCATCCCAGTTGTGTTTTCAAGTTCAGGAAACTTATTTCGTCTATCCTATAACGTACTAGTACTAATTTCAAAAGCGATTAACTTGAAAAAAATCCGTATGTAACGGGTTTCTTTCGATAGTTTTTTCCCTATTTCCCTTATTAACGAATTTCGGCCATTGTTGTTTCCGAAATAACTAATGCATCTTTTCGATGTTCTGAATAAACTATAACAAATGATATTAGTGCTATTAGGTTTCATCGCAATAGTGTGACTTCTATGCTTCAGTGGAATTGACTGACTGATTTCTTACGTTTATTCATCAATCAATGCGTATTCTATCTATTGGTCTGTTTAGATAAAGCATGATATTATTGAGGTGCATTTACTTACATTAAAAATTCATTCCAGAACGTGAAGATGCGGCGAATCACGGTGAGTTTCGCATGATATGCTGTGTTATTTGTGCATGTGCTGTCATTATCTTTCTTTCACCCTCTAATATCTACTTTTTTATAATTATTAAGTCACTTTGGGATGTCATCACAGTGCCTTTGTCAGATGTTCGTTTCACCTTTTATTTCCTTCTGCACTGAATCTAGTCGCTTTGCGACAGTATTAGTATAAGAAAGATTGTGTAGAGATCACATGAACATATGATTAAATAGTGTCAGATTAACGGGGGCATATCTTAGCCAGCTGCATTCGTGTGAGGACGCAGCTTATCGTTCTTGTCATACACTACTTGAATAGTCGTGAATTGTGTGAATTGAAACCATCGCCGACATATCGTCTTATGTTCCGTTCACGGGAAAACAATAGCAACGATTCACATGTGCAGCTGCATCATCCATAAATAGCTGGCATAAAGCCCGTTGTGTGTGTCTGTGTGTGGCGTGTTGTTCAGTTGACCTTCATCTTGTCATGCCGCCTTAATTGCCAACGTCAAAGACGTCGTCTCCATCACAGCTATGAATCAGATTCGATTGTCTTTAAAGCGTTCAAGGGTATAGAGTATGAAAACTAATAAAAAGAAAGAAAGGATGTAATCAGTTCCAAGTCACTGAAAATCGTCACTGAAAAAAGTGAATCGTTGCATTTTTCCCTGCCTTTTGATTCAATAGAAGAAGATGTAGAAGATACCTGTCATCTTATCATAATAATGACGTTTAGAATATTGACTAGTATAACAGTTGTGTAATTTTTATTGGAAAGTCCTTACAGCATCTAACTAAAACATTTATGGTGAACAAAAAAGTGACCGCCACTGTTCATTTTTGAACACACTTTTCCAAGCTGGAAAATGATAGTTTCTAGGAGTTTTTGGTCTTCAGAAGATCCAATTTAGCGGCACTTCTTTTACAACTTTATAAATTTACTGTATGTTTTCATGTAAAGTTTCTGAGTTGAGAGGAATTCACCATAACTCTTCCTAAATCACAAGTTGCATTGAAGATAGTGCTCTTCTCACCATTTATTATGTTGAGATATACTTATGTTAATGATCTAGATAGTAAAAATAGAAATATTAATGCTTTCTTGGTTTTTTCCCTTTCCACGTTCTTGAGTTCAGTTAACGTAATATCCAACGTTTGTACATATCCAACGTAAATCGCACGAATAGCAACCAGCTGAGATTTCAACTAATACGTATTTGAAACCAAAGTAGGATATTCAAGTCAAAAGATCACTGACGCACGTCTAGTAATTTTTTTTGTTAGGATATTTAAACAAAGAGATAGTCACGAATTACAGAAGCTCCTTGGGTGAAAACTGAACAAACGTTTGTTCCGGTGAAGAAAAATGCCGATGTGAACATTTCTTGTTCCTACGATGGCACACCATCACCGCAAAGTGAATGGTTCTTTAACGGATACAAGATTAATGTGAGTTTTCAAATAGCAATACTCTTCAAATAAATAAAAATAATTAAAAATCTTAACAACCAAGTTTCAGCAAAAATTGCTGAATTTGTGCTCTTCGGGAAGCTGATTCAACGAAGAATTATAATTTTCAACTAAAGCTAATAGTCAGCATAATTATCAAAAAAATTAAGAGACAGTGAAAAATAAAGTGAAACGACTACAACCTTCCGTAGGTGGTTGACCTTCACCTCTAATAAAAGAAGCATCGATTTTAGTTCTCTGAAGAAAGGTTTCGTAACGCTGCTCAATACGCCCAACGTCGCGTCAATCATACCAGTACGATTCTCACAGTAATTGGAATTAATGAGGTATGTGGAACTGAGGGATAGGGGCATTGAGAGAAAATCTATACCACACTTACTATTCCCTCATTAATTAACAACCAAGTTTCGGCAAAAAGTTTTTATTATCGATGAAGAGTAATAGAATCCTTGAGATCGTTTTTAGTGAACCAAATATCGCCATCATTGTAGAGTTTTAGAAGCAATGAAATGCCCTTTATATGTTCATTTTAATAATCGTACTGCAAACTATTTATAGGATTCGTTCGGTGATTACATGTGCCGAATATCAAATAATCTGGGCATGGCTTTTGCTGTGATCCACGTGAGCGGTATGTTTTCCTGCATTTCGTTTTGCTGGAAACATCACACCTATTCCATGTTCCTTGATAAATCTAATGCCTTCATCATCTTCCATGGTCAATGATGCTCAAAACAAGTATAGAGCATCATGTGCTTAATGCTCACGTAACAGTTATAAATCATTACTTTGACGACATTTCCCCATTACGACACAAAGGTTCAAGCAGTTCTTTTACTCGTTTCACTGTCCTACAACCGTCCTTCCATTGAGATGGTGGGGTTTTCTTTTGGCTACGGCTTCTCAGTTTGTCGTTTCTCTGCTTATTGGCGCCTTTAATTGTGACTTAGAAATTTATTTTGTGAAATCCAAATGTAGAGGTGCTAGAACCTCCCCTCACACTTTTATCATTGGTGATCGTCGTTAGTTGATTATCAGAGAAAGACTTTCGGAAACTGTTCCAAGATGGGGATAATTTTTGAAACTAGGTGATGCCAAGCACGATGTAAGAAATTAAGTAATTATTGTAAATACACAACAAGGAGAGAGCAGTGCAGTGTTAATGATCCCATTCATTACCTGGCCGGCCCAACCTACCCAATCGCTTTTTCTACTCAGCACCAGGCCCACCAACCCTTTCACGACTTTACTCTAAGAGTCCAGAAATTTGAACCAGACTTCTCTGAGATAAGCTGACTTCCTCTAACCCATATGAGAAGGTTCCAGTACGGCTATACCAGGATTCCAGGGAGAATCGGCTCAACTATCATTTAACGATATTCATGACAATGACGAGGTTATTTTCAATCGGCATACGAACCCACACGCAAACAGTTCGTAGACCTTTTTAGACGGTGGATGCGAGGAAACGAATCGTTTGCACTGCCGACATTTTTGCAGTGGATACATGTGATGCCAGGCCATCTAATGAAGAAGAAATGCAGATCAGCATAGTTTTTACATGCTATATAATCATACCGAACATGGGGAGTCACGGCAGTTACACTACCACTTGAATCGCTGTCACAACTTATTTTTGCCGTTGGCAAGAATCCATAACCTGACCAAGCAATCCTCCTCCGTCTTAGCGGAGTTCTCAAATTAAAACCGACCTTGTCCGTGAATATTTTGTTCCGATGCACGAAGACCGATGACTGACTGCGATAATGGTCTGAGAATGCTGTATTAAAACTGCACTAGGACTCCAGAGAGAATCACTCTTCAGCGACCAGCCATCAATAAACAGCGTCCATGAAGAAGACAAATATCCTTAAGTAGCAAGCAGCAGAATTCACCCGTAAATCCAAGGAAACTCATAAATGACGAATAGACAACGCACCAGATGAAAAAGTGCTCTACGTTATCCAACGTGTTAAACTGAGGTCCATTTATTTCGCACCAAACAACACTTTTTAGCAGCAGAATTTGTCATGTTGAAGAGGACTATGTAGAACGGGCGACATTTCGAATTCTTTAAAGGAACTTGATTGTTTATATTGATGAATGACAAAGTTCGGTTCGAGGGCGGCATATGTGAACAATTATTGGTCGGGATTATCGTTGTCCTATGGTGTGCTTTGATGGAATGAACGTGTGAGAGAGACAAATAATGGTACAGTCATTGTGGTTTTCAAGAGGCTACGAAAAGATGATATTCAAAGTTAAATAAAATTTCAACCTTGTGTGTAAAAATCCATGCAGATGTATTGATTTTAGGGCGTCCTGGACCACCATCATTAAAGCTAGATGGATTTGATCTTACATGGACTGTAAGATCGTATGAGCCTGTCATCGAATATCGAATTTACTACAGACCCGAGAAAGCAGACGATTGGAATAAGTATGACAGTATACGGGTTAACAAAGGTTGGAATTTTCAGCACACGTTTTCCTTTTTATACTTTTTTGTCTATCGTATAGTTTTTAAACTCCTTTTATAGGAGACAACAATGGTGATGATGTGTGGCAGCACAGTGTTTCGCTTCTATCGTATCTTGCAGCCGGGGTACGGTACGAAGTCACGGTTAAAGCTCGAAATGCACTCGGTTGGGGTTCTTTCGCTCGGGAAAACCTTCAAGTAGAAATTCCAGCTGATGCTCATGGTGAAGTTTCACTATTTGTTAGTTTATTCAAATATTTCCTGTGTCTGGAGCAAGCAATTTTGACAACAATGTGTTTTAACGATAGGTAAATACTTTTCAAATAAGGTGATTTTTTTTTAATTTTTAAACCTTGCATGATGAGTTCCATTCGATCATCTCGATAATGCCTTCAAAACCTTATTTAGGAGCAATAATGTAAAATGTTAGGGTTAAGATTAATTTCCTTATGAAAAAGCTCTTGGCGTTGATAAATCCCTGAGGGATGCGCCATGCATTCGACTTTAAGTATCGTTGGAGGTTATTGAATGCATAGCTGGCCTTCACAACAACTCGCAGTGGCCTACCGATGTATCGAGCCAGTGCTGCTATCCTTCCAAAGAAGTCTGGTGCCAATTTGCCGACGTTGGTGCGATGGAAGGCTTGTTGGGCCATTGGCGCGGGAATCGATTACACGTGTGTGTCGCAGTTGCGCCTCCAACCACTGCACCATACGAGCCCTTAGTTTCTTTATAAGTTACGTAAACACTGCTATAAAAAGTAGTCTACTCATTTCCTTTATGCTTTCAAATTTAATTGCCCAATTTTTTCCATCGTTGCAAAGCAGACCTATCTCATCTGGGATTCCAATATTGGATTTGTTTTATAACCCGTGCTATTACCTTTGACAACAGAAATATAATTATACAAGACCATATAGTTAACCTGAAATTGAGCTGGTTTTGACTAGAAGACGGGTTTACTATTTCAACCACCTCGGATTGGTTTCCATGCTTCGTACAGGTAATAATATTAACCAAAAAATTGTAGCCGTAAATTAATTTATTAATTTTCTGGGACTATAATGAATTCTCTACCTATATTTGGCTAAAAACTTCCAATCAAATAGGTAAGAAAGAATTTTGGGTCATTTCCAGTAAATAACCTAAGATTCTACATCGGGAAAGCTTAACTTGCTATACAATGGGTAGATCCACTACTCAGAAAAAATTTCGGGGTCCCTTTAAACCAATATTAAATGACCTATCTCCAAAACAAACACTTTTGCGAGAAATAAGCTCACTAGGTAGTTTTGGTGCGAAATAGAGGCGAGTGGAGACTTTACTGCGCTTTATGCCGTTAAATGATTAAAGTGATTATAGGCTATAAACGTGACACGTTGATGCTTATGCATCAAGCAAAATGTTAGGGAAGTTTCCATAACGTTCTTTGAACTGCCGAAGCGGAATGCGAAAAAATAGTACAAATCAAGGCGCTTGTCGACTGGAAATGTGGGCTACTGATACGTTTTTTTTTCAGAGAAAACGTCAGCTGCCAACATTGCTTCTTTGTTTATTGCTTTGGCAACACTCATACTAGGATATTCCGTCGAATATTGAGTATCCTTAAACGATGTTCTCTAGTTGTTTGTGGCATAGCACAAGACACAAATGAGGTGTAGCTATTTTTCTGATATAAAAAATCAGCTCGAAAATTACATCACAACATTGCTGACCGGAGTTTTCAGTCGTATGCCTGGAAACTGCGGACTCTTGGTTTTTTTTTGCTTGCTCAACTTCCAGAATATCATGATTTTGTACATTAACTCAGTAGTGGATTCGTGACGTTATCTCTTGCACTGTTGTGTTTTTACTCATTCTGAACGATTTGCCTTTAGTATTCTGCCATGTGAGGGATATCTGTGTCTGATTAGGAGTTAGAATGACGATTTTTTACTATCATAATTACTAAGATAACGCTTAGTCACAATATGAATGATCCAGAGTTGTTGCCTAACTGAGGTGCTGTTTAGCATTATTAGCTGAGCTTCCTATCCATGTATCGCTGGAAGTGAGCTGTGTCTTTCATGCATGCATTTGGCGGCACAGAGCTTAACAAACGGTTCCGAAACGCTTTTTTGTATTGTACACAAAAGCAGTACGAACAAACTAATATCAATATACATGTACATGTATGCGAATGTTTGCACTTGTCAACAAGTTTAGTTTACCGATTCATCGCCGTCACTATTATCAATGTCATCATCATCATCACTATCACCCCGAAAGTATTATCACTTTCACGACAATGCTTTCACTTTAAGTCTCCTGACATACATACATATAGCTTTGTTCGTCGTCATTATGACGACGTTGCTATGTTATTTGTGCTTTTTAGCGCATTTGTTCTTGTCATGTACAACACGTAGAATCTTACAAAATTCCTCAGAGCCATTACTTTCAAACGTCATCTATGCAAACTCGGGTTCGTTGCATTAATTTTCCCTTCAACCCCCGACCCATTTCTTGAATTTTCCATCATTCATTTCCAATATCGATTCTACTAAGAAAATTTTCTGACAATCAGAAATGTAACAAAACATTTAAGAAATGATAACGAATATCACGAAATGAGTCGGAAATCGTTGTAATATCAAACGTCATCATAGCACCAATTCTTCTTCGGTGTGTTTCGTATCTTGCCCATGTGATCTGTCATCATGCTATTATTAATATCACCATTAATATTATTAGTATTTTGCATTTTTCTGCGATACTTGGCGGCACAGACTACTGATACGGTTCATTGTCTAGTTACCGTATCGTGTAGCATCAATGTTATTTTTCGTTCATGCCACCGTACAAGAAGAGATTCACTCACACGATGTTCATGTATTGAATGCATCACATTGCTATAAAATTGTTTTCACTATTACTGTTTATCTTGAAGAAAACAATAATTATGCGATGATATACTTCGACGACAGTCAAAAAAAAACAAATCCACGAAACAAATTCTATGATTTTGATAGTAGGTGCCGGTAAGGACTTGCCGGTACTCACACAGATAGGAAAACTGAGATAAAGGTGGCAAATCAATTGTGATGGTGAATCCCATCTACTGTCCTATGTGAACAACATGAATATGTTCGTATTCTTTGGAAAACGAAAACAGTGATTAATTTCCGACAGACTAGCATTTGGCTTAGTTTACGAATTCAATCACCGTTAAGGTTATAGAATATTCACCAATTGATAAGGATACGACTGGATACCAATAAGACTAGGCTGGCTGCGCACTAAGAGCGGTCGACGAAGCGTTAGCCACTGATCTTAAAAAATACGTGTAAACAACCACGAGTTGATTCAGCATGGGGAAATGCAAGTTTCTTACTGAGGTTGAGGTTAATCGGAAGTCAGTCTTTCGAAATATCACTAAACTGATATATCGTAGTACGTCACCGCAAGTCATTCATTGTGTAGGCCAGATATGCGTTCAATCATCGCCATGATACTTGATCTAGTCCACTTAATGATATATACCTGGAGGCCTGATCAGACCAAATGCCTTCACGTTCTTTTATACGGAGATCATCATACCATACTTCATTCCAAACTTACATATAACACCTTTGTTATTGTTATGTGCAAGCAATTAATGCAAAAAAACAAAAAATTCACTATAATTAAAGAAAGAGACCTTGAAAAAGTTAGGGAAAATTAAAGGTATGTAAGGAGAAGTGCAGCTGAGCGTTATACTTTTATAGTTGTAGTAGAAATGACAAAAATTTCCTTTTTCCATCGTACTTTTTAAAAAATTATTTACTTAAGATTAGAAAAAAACTGTTTATTAAGATTAGCGCCCTTCTTCATTTTAATTCTTTGGCCAAATTCGATGTTAAGTAATTATCTCACTAAAAAACCGGTGGTCGATAGACTACACAATCTCAGCATCTGAACAAACTTCTGGAGGAATATGCTTTTGGTTTGTTGATACTGGACTAAACTAAAGATAACCTTGTAGAAGAGTTACTCAAAAATGCTTTGTACGTAGCAAAATTTCTCCGTAAAGAGAATGTATCACGACAACTACCCTCAGCATAGTTTTCAAGCCGCTACGTACAAGCAAGATCTTCATCGGTAGATTCGCTAGTCGCAGGAATCAATCAAAAAAAAATCGCTGATGTCTTGAAAGAGTTTTGGTCTCACGAAAGAAAAACTTCGTTTGATAGAGGCTGAAGATTTTTTGTGACGTGATCTGGGAACGATCATGCAGAGCTACCTCGAGGTCTCAGCAAAAGGCAAGCTCAACAGGCGTTCTGCATTTCGCAAACAGGAAAAGATCGTCAGCCCAGAGGTGGACGAAGACACGAAGCTGATCACTTCCACAGGTGATGGTTGCAAGACAACGAAACGAATTAAAAACGAATTAAGCAGGCAGGTGCAGAGAAGTTTTTTTTAAAAAAGCAGTAACAAAAACGAACACCAGTACGGTTGTGAACTAAGAATCCTGTACGAACGCTATTTTGATGTTTTGTCTCACAGTTCACCCTTTCGCTGCTGCAAGGAGAATAGTTGACCATTGGATTGCAACGTATTGAAGAGGATTTATCCTCCCCGCCGGGTTATTCATGTTGGAGCTTCCGACATTTTCATCCCGCTAAGGGTGCCTGCAATGCCTGAAATTGTCGTCATCGTAGGAAAAACGAAGTTGAAGTGTGGCAAACCTCTCCTCCAATCTTCACTGGCTAGCCATAGCTCATAATGGTGAACTAGGAACACCCTGGCAACCACATGCTCCAGAGAAAAAATTTCAGAAAATGAGAATAAATATCTTCGTCGAGGAACTGTGAGAAATCCAGAGCCACTCTGAAAAGCTCCTAAGTGGCTGCTCAAATATTATATTTATATGAAAAAAATTAGGTAGCGAATTTGATGTTAAAATAGAGAATTACAATACAGTAGGCCGGCTTCCGAGTAAACTAAATGAATGCCTTGAAGGTAGCTAGCGTGTACGAAACCGATGAGGCTACAAAATGTGAAAAGTTTGCAAGCCTAAACATCCATGGAATTCTCAGTGTATTCACAAAAACCACGCAGAACTGTTATAAAAGATGTTATGCTAATCTATTTAAAAAAAGGGACAAGGATATCGTAACATGCTACAGAAAAGTACTGTTATGACGATGCTACTGCAAGTACTTAATAGTACGCTAAATATCTTACACAGAGTAAGCAAGATCTAAACGCTGAATTTTTACGATAGTTTCTGCACTACAGGAAGACCACAATTGCACTTAGTTTTTTTCCACATTATGAAACGATTGCTTCGACCGACGGTCGCGAAGTGTAACGTATTGGGGGGCGGATACTCGCCACGGTAAGTGTTGGTCGTTCTCAACAGCATTGTCCATAACTGTCATTCGACTCAGCTATGGCACCGACTGCCGCGATAGTTTTAATAGCAGCTTACCTCTTCACAGGTAAGTAGTGCTCAGATGTATATTTTACGTAAGCAGTCGTACAATCACTTTGCCTTAGTTCTGAGGTTTTCAAAAAGAAAACGATTCCATAGGAATCCACATTATTTAATATCGCATAACCATGCTTTCAATAAAAATTTTTCCTCCACATATTTTTGAATAATTGTTTTAAGAACAAACCAGAACGTAAGGAATTTAAGGTGTCGTCGCACGACCGTGCACATTTCACGAGGGCGCTCATCAGGTAATGTTCGGTGTTCGGAATGGAGTTGTACACTTTCGTTTAACTCTTCGTGCAGTACCATATATGGCATCGGGATGGACCGGTGTTGGATTTGGGCAAGGAATGGTTCGTCCTCGCTTCTTTAAATATTTTTTTTCTATCAAGTAATATATGCTACACAAGTGCTCTACTTAACTGTTCATCGGTGAGGAGTGTTCTCGAGTAATGAAATGCGATCAACAAGGGGCACATTTTCATTTCAAGCATGATTACCCATATCGAGATGGTATTCAACATTTTCATTCGAGAAGAAGTAAACCGATGTCAAGAATCGTTTCTGCCCTAGAAGGAATCTAATTTTATGGTAATAGACATCTGTTTGTTTTACAAAGGCTACAATTGGTGACGATTTTGGAACATTTTGTCAGGGAGATTTCTCAAAACTCCAAAGGAAAATACAGCCAAATCAGTAAAACTGGAAGCAAATGGAAAATGTAAAAATATTCAAGTACCATTTTCTCACGGATCAAGCAGGTAAGCAAACAACAACACTCTTGCGACAAGTAACACCCATAGGTGTCACAATGGTTTTGCGGGTCTGACCAGTATGTCTCATAGTACATATAGATCTCGTTTTCTCTCCTGTGATTTATTTCAACATATAGAACTATTTTCCTATACTTTTCACTATCAACTGATAGGTTGCTTAGTACCGATGCTATTTGGAGTATTGGTTAGGAAAAGCTCTATTTTGCACTTGGAAATATACAGAAAATTTATATATAATAAACGGTTGTTGTCGTATAGCACGTGCGGATACAAAAAATACTGAATTAGAGCCCATTAGTTGCAAAACATTTCAAAAATGCTGACAGCTATGTGTTTGCATGGTGGAGCATAGTGACATCTGGTAAATATTTACTTGGATACTTGGATGTTCCGTCTTCACTGGTTGTGTGGACCCCAGCATAATTTCCACTTTTTCGGAATTTTGCTGGTTTAACCATCGTGGTTCCCTGGAGCCCCAGGGTCAGTCTAGCCAAAATCTGCCCCAGGTCGTGACCACCACAAGTAGTCGCCGACCTTGTGGTTCGGAGGGAGATTTGTCACCATGCGACAAGTCTGATACCAGGACGGTGGTGGATCCTGGTATTGGTTTATTCTTAGCTAGGCATCCTGACGGAAACGCCGGACTCCTTCTCAGCTTGCGAGACCTTGCCAGGGGATGGATCCCATCGTTGTACATCGCAGCCCGTCACCCAGGAACACTTACCAACCACGATGAGGCGGTAAACCGTTGGTGATAGGAGTTATTTATGGTAGATAACACCATAAATATCATCTAAACCCATAAAACGATAGAGCAAAGTCGTTTCTATAACTAATTCACGTTCATAGTCCACAAAGTCGTCTAGTTATCAAAAAAAAAATACTGCTCGTCTTCAAAAATCCGGCAAGTCCGTAAAGGCTGGAAATTAGCCATTCTACATTCCGCAACAAGCCCGAGTTTAGGTGTTGCCTCGAGAGCGTTAGCGTCACTTTCGGAATAGATACCATTACAGAAACAACTTTCCAGATGGTTTTCTTCTCAGTAGTTCACACTGAAAGCTGACAGAAATTTCCTTTGTATTATGATAGGACATGTTATAGTTTGACCTAGAGTACGCATCTGTCATCAACCGGTAGTTCGAACTTGTTAGTAAAGAACAGTGGTGGACATTTTGATAGTAGTAGGTTCACCATCTTGAAAGCTTTTTCTAGTAAGGTAGAGGTGCCTGACATTAGTTTACACTTCACTAACTCTCAAGAGAGAAGAAGATCGTACTCATCCCTTAGGTATGCTTGACGGCGAATGACCTCCTTTGGTTCATTATAGTTTAGCTTATAGATACCTAATTGTTAGGCAGAGGCATTGTTAAACCGCAGAGTGGAGCGGTTACACGTAATCTTGTGCATGAACTTTGCAAATAAAATCTCAAACACTGCAAATGCGGAGATGAGCGCGCAAAAGACATGGAAACCGTTCCAGACTGGTTTCAGGATACGGAAATTACTCATTAAAAAAAGACAAAAAAAAACGTGGAACTATTAGCCCAATATGGCATCAACAGTGTAGAAATTTGGAGACTATGACGGTGGAACCAATAATGAATAACTAAAAATGAAGAAAATGTTTAATGGATAAATTGTCGCACAACAGAAATTTTTAAAACACCAGCACGAAAAAAGCAAACTTGCGAAAAAAAGGCAAAAAAAAGAAAGACTCAAAAATCTTGATTAAAGCGGTATCTTCTTTTGTACCAGTAGATCGAACGCTCTTTAGAGGTTTTCTGCAGTTTTACACCTTTACAAATATTTGCTCAAGAATCAAGTTAGTCAACTGCAAAGCAAGGTGATATATCTTATTTGACTTTTCCTGAAGTTGGTTCACTACCGAATAAGCCGCCAAAGAATTATGAACCACATGATTGACAGCGATTTTGAAGGTGCTGAGATTGAACTCTAAACCACAGAAGCACTAAAGACGCATGTTTACAATAGGCTAGATCATCTTCTCTCTACATTGCAAACACTTAAAAGTCTTTCCCATATTTCTCCAAATTTCAGATCGATGGTATGGACGTGATCATTATTCGCGTGCAGAATGGACGTGTGAACGTTACAGATGAATATGTGCGTGGCTACACCACCTCGTTTCCAGATCAAGTAAGTATGCGCCACCTTGGTATTGCTCTGTATTCTCATTCTGCTAACAGTGAAATTGAAAAGTCTCATACGAAAAGTGAGACTGCCTTCATTTCCGTTGAACAAGCGCAGCTCATGAGGCAATTTTGATGCACGATAGGGACGAACGGAGACCTCAATGGTGCTACTTATCGTGAGCCAATAATTAACTATAACAATAAAAAAAACAAAAAAGACAAAGCTTCCAGGGCTGATCAGTCCTTGAGGGATGCATAAGATGTAATTGCACATCGTTAGAGGAGATAGAATGCATATCTGGCCTATATAATCACTTGCGGTAACCTACTGATATATCAAGTCAGTGATGCTACCCTAACAGAGAAGTTTGGTAGCAATTTGCCGACCTCAGAGGGATGAAAGGTTTGGTGAGCTTTGGGTACGTGGTCGAACCAACGACGACGTGTATTGCAGAGCACCAGTAAGCACTGCGCTACACGCGCCTTAAAAATATCTCAGGAAACCAGAAATTTTTTACAAGAGAACACATCTAAGCACTGTGTTACACGCGCCTCTGCAATGGCATGCCTTGATCAGCAAACATCTAGGTAGAAATAAAGCCGAAAGTTTTAAAAATGTGTCAGAAAACCAGGAATTCATAACAAGCGTTGAGTAGATGACCTTGTTGTGATGTTTCTTCACAGACGTTACACGACAAAACCAATGTGATCTGTGTGAGACCGAAACAACACGACAAACAGTCATCATCACTATTGTCATCAAAATGTTTACACAATAATTCTCACCATTGGAATGAATTCACCACAAAGACAATGCCAAACGTCTATCTATAAAAATCTCAACAGTTTGCCAAGAAAAGAAAGGAAAATGTTAAATGAGACGATGTTTAAAAGAATAAGAAGAAATATAAGAAAATATGGAAAACAGAACAAAATAAGAGGAAAATCCTGATTAACATGAGTAGAATACAGCTAACCAGAGCAAAAAATCACCACTAGAGTATTTTTCTGGCTTCTCTCTTTGGAAGAAATATGTGAGCAATTGATTTCAACACCGTAAGCAGCGAATCTCAATCAGGTACAGGAAAGTTTCGATCGATTCCTTAACGAAGCAATGCTCGAGGGTTTTCTAAACTAGAATTGTAGTATGATTTCAGATCAACAACGTCATAGTGCATAGCAGTCAAGTGGACAACGGCATTATATCTGTGACGTTCTCTAGACCAGTTAATGCTATGGAGTACGTATACGATAGTTCTTTGTTAGGATGCAAGCCGTGGAAGGTCGTTAAAGATACACACTTTAAATCCGATATTGCTTTCTTTTGGTAAATAGTAAGCGAAATTTCAGTTCGTAATTGGCCTGAATCGTATGAATCCGAACGGTGAATTATATCATCATTTAACGACGCCCGTTCATCGAACCATCTGCATAGACGACTGCCGACTGTAGAAGAGGAAGCAGAAAGCATAAATAGGAAGACTTCGTAAGGGAAATATGGGTTACGTATTTTATGGATTTTATTTTGTTTAATAGCCTTTGGAAATTTCTTGACGACTTTCTATTTTTCGTTCCATATGTTTATTTGATTTAGGCCACCAATTTTTGTTTTATGAGGCGAAATGTGAAATTACAAAAGGAACCTTGACTACCGCACTATTTATAATATGTAGCTAATTGATATGGCAGTCATGCCACTATGGAACATCGATGTAAAACTCGTTAACGGTATATCAGAAATATCCTCACGAAAATATTAAAATGACAATGAAACCGATATAATGGTTAGTAATAACAGAAATTAATTCTCGCACGGAAATGCTAACCCTCTCACGAACGCGTGTCACTGAAGCGCTCTTGAGGAGCGCATTGAAATCAAGATGTACGGTCGTGATAGGGTTAAAATGTACTATGTTTATAAGACCGATATGATTGAACAGAAACAACAGTCATATTTGGATGAAATAACAAAATCATGCACTTCAATAAATTAAATAAACACCAAAATTCGGAAAGAAATCAACTGAGAAATCTTATTGACGAAGAAACAAAATTACGACTATGCGAAAGTTTACGTGATGATGTATGCATTCATTTAGGAAGAAGTTTAAAACTAAAGCTTATACACGTTGATTCTTAAACAGTATTTCTGAAAATATTCTACAGATCCCAGCTGAAAAGATGGTGCTTGATAAGCATATCCGTAACACCCTTTTTCAGCGGTCTTTCACCATTAGGTTTGAGCTCACCGGCCATTATAGTAGACATAACTTTCTTCTTGGTACTCGACATCATCTGTTGTATGCAAATGTTGGTATACTAATAATCGACGAAATTAATAGCTGATAACATAGTTCGATGATGATAAACTACTTACACTAGTATTGGCTTTGTTTTTCTTCTTCTCAACACCTTCGATTTCAAAATCAACACTGAGGTTGAATGAAAATTGACTCAATAGTCTTAGCTCGCATTTAATCTGAAATTGAGTGCCATTTATCATTAGTAGAAGGTTCACCTTCTGTTTACTGAACTCACTTCCTTAAGTATTATTCATAACTAGCCTTCTACCGCTCACAACAAAGTCATCTCTTTGTTTTGGAAAGGGATTTGTTAGGTACACTGGTGGAGAATAAACGAACTTGTCGCCAAGCTGGCGTGCGTATAAACGCCCATGGATGATAGTATTTACTACGTATTGCTTCCTGATGTTCAGATGAACAGAACAAATCGAACCAGAGGTGTAAACATTGTTCGTTGACACCAAGAACCAGCAAAGACCTTGACACAACGATGGTTAGCGTGCATCATTTAGTGACAATCACTTCTGAAAAGTCTTCCATATCAAAACCTTACCTTAGTTTAATATCTGGATGGGCGTTCGCAGAATTATGTGAGTCATTAATAAGTTGCACTGATCGGAATAATAGCTCTTCCGGTGTTAATAACTATAAGGAGACAATCTTAACTCTTTTATTTACTGCCTTTTTCTTCTTAATGGCAGGTTATGCTGCGAAATATAACTCGTATGAAATGCTGAGATATTTGCAAAGCTCCGGACCACAGGTGTATGCAGTGGAG